CATCCCAGCCTGGGACGGAGGGGCCCACAGCTGTGCCGCAGACAGGCACACACAGGCCCCATCCCACCCCACATAATGGCAGAACTTTCTTGCTCCTTTAGACTTCTGAATTGAGATCAGGGCGTCAAATGCTCCTGAAAACACCCTTACCCCTCTGTGACTCCGATGCCTAGAAACACCCTTGCCCCACTGCTCACAGGAATCCCTATCAACTCAGTTCCCTCGCCACCTAAGCTGAATGTGTGTCCTCGAAGCAACGTGAAGAACTATTTCTGTTTGCCCAAGACAGAGGGGCAGACATTTAATTGGCCTCAGAAGTTCCCGTGACTGGATGTTTGTTAATGTTCCCTTGGGGGAAGGTATGGGTTCAGGATGGGGTCCCTTTAAGGCCTGGGGTGGACAAGGAATCGGTTAATGGGCATCCCCGAGAGGTGACTTTCCAAGGTGGTTATTATGTGGCTCAATCATTAACCAAGCGGTGGCAGGACCCCAGGCTCGTTGGAGAGGAGCCACTCCTTTCCCAAGGACAGCCCAAGAGCCGGACGCTGCAGCCGGGGAGAGCACTTGGGGTGGTAGGAAGAGAGGCCTGGTTGAGGGAAGTTGTCCCTCAGCACACATGAGGGTGGAGGGCTGGCCCGGATAGGGAGGAAGTCAGCACACCCTCACTGGGGCGGGAGGGAAAAGCGAGACAGTGAGGGTTTTTATCATGAATGAGAGAGGAAGCTCCAAGCTGGGCCATGGCGATTAGATGACAAGTTGGGAAAGACGCTCATCCTGAATGCATCCTGTTTTGCTCCAAACCAGCCTCAGGGGCCAGGCATCGGGGAGGGGCTGGGAGGAGAGCAGCGTCCCAGGAATTCTCCCAGGCCTGCCCAAGCTCCTGGTTTGCCTGGAATTGGGAAGGCAAGGGAGAGCCCGAGAACTCCCTTTTCCCAACAGAGAACCAGGCAGAGCGCCGAGAAGAAGCCTCAGCAGGTCAGCCTTGGGGCTGGAGCTCAGGGACTGGGAGGCCGCGCCGTAAAATGAAGGCCAGAGCTCCCTAATCCCTCCAGCTCGAACCTTTCCTGAGCCTCTCTTCCAAGGTTCAGCTCAAATGTCACTGCCTCTGTCAGTCACCTTCCCCTTTATCAAAAGCACTCGCTCCCTGGTCAGGCCTCCCAGGGCAAAATGTGCTAAACAACTGGACATATGAACACTACCAGGATATGTGATGTATTAAGGGACTTTTAGTTGCGACAGTGGTACCGTGGCTGTTTTTTTGTTTGTTTGTTTTTGTTTTTTGAGACCCTGTATTTTAGAGCTACATATTGAACTATTTGTGGATAAATTGATAAGGTGTTTGGGATTAATTTCCAAATAACAAGAAAGATGTATGTGCAATTAGGGCAGGATTGGCCATGGGTTAATAGTTGTTGAAGTACATGGGGCCTTATTACACTAACAACCATCTCTACTTTTATATTTGCTTGAAATTATTAATAATAATTGTTGTTAATCCTTACCCGAGGATATTTTCCTACTTATCTTCAGATAGAGTGGGAGGGAGAAAGAGGGAGAGAGAGACATATCGACGTGAGAGGGACACATCGACTGGTTGCCTCCCGCACCATCCTGACCAGGGCCAGGGACGAACCACAACTAAGGTATGTGCCCTTGACCGGAATCGAACCCTCAACTCATTGCCATGGGGCCTACGCTCTACCACTGAGCCAAACCAGCCAGGGCTTCATAATTTTTTAAAAGCCCTCACCGAGGTAAGGACTTGGCATGTCATGTGTTATTTACGCCACTAACTTCCAAACTAGACGGTAGATTCCCTGAAGGTGGGGTTATGCTTGGCCTCCTGCATAAGACCAAGCACCAAGCCTGGACGTAATCATCTGTCCAGCACTTGGTAGTTTAAAAAGCACTTGAGCCCTGGCCGGTTTGGCTCAGCAGTTGGAGCGTTGGCCCGAAGCATGTACCTCGGTTGCAGTTTATCCCTGCCCCAGCTGGGGTCGTGTGGGTGGCAACCAGTTGATGTGTCTCTCTCACATCAATGTTTCCCCCCCCCCCACTCTATCTGAAGATAAATGCAAAAAAAAAGAAAACAAAATTTAAAAGCACTTGACCATGGATTACCTCATTTAATCCAGTGAGGTGGAAAAAGTGGGGGGAAAACCAAGAGTCTGAGATGTCAAGTGGAGTGGCAGAGCCTGGATCCCCTGTTCTTTGCCGCATACCACCCTGGACCCCAGGAACTTAACATCCTGTCCCTGCGTTGAAGTAACAGGTACAGCAACGATCAGCCTGCAAGTTCCCAAGGTGGAGGGCTGTGCAAGAAGAGACTCAGACCCTGGCCAGTTTTTCCCAGTGGTTAGAGCGTCAGCCTACAGACCAGAGAGTTTCGGGTTTGATTCCCAGTCAAGGGGCATGTACCTCGGCTACAGGTTTGATCACCGGTGCTGGTCGGGGGTCATGTGGGAGGCAACCAATCGATATGTCTCTCTCACATTGATGTTTTTCTCTCTCTTTCTCTCTCTCTCCCCCTCCTTCCCACTCTATCAAAGAAAATCAATGAAAAAAAAAATTCCTCAAGTGAGGATTAACAAAAAAAAAAAAAAAGAGAGAGACAGAGACTCAGCATATAAACATAGGACTTCGGACTGACCACGATCCATACTGTGGTTTCCAATCCACTGATTCAAGTTTACCTAGACCAACACCCCCTATACACACACACACACGTACACACACGACCCTAAGTCACAGATGAACAGAGCCTTCATAAACACTCGGCACAAGAACTGTCTGCCCAGACCTATGCTCAGCTACTCTGTTTAGGGTTACAGGGTAGATGGAGGAACTTATACTTCCCCTCCTAAAACCCTCGCATCTTTGAGATTCCCAATCTCTACTTTACCCGATAATAGCCTCCCAAAGACCCAGAGCTATGACACTCATTCTACCCAAACTGAGAGCCCAAGGAAAAAGTTCTCCCTATTCTGTTCTTGCCAGAAGCAACTCCTTCTTTCAGCCAGAGACTCCTCCCCCCACCTCCCCCCAGAAGGTAGGGGCACAGCCTGTCATCACTGATTCTGAACTTGCCACAGCTGCAGCAGGGAGCTCTGGTAGTCTCCTCGCAGAAAAACACTGGCAGCTGCAGCAGCATCCTGACCACAGACTCTCTCCTCTCCTCTCTTGGGACCTTCTTCCTTCCCTGTCATTGCTGCTATCTCTCTACCTGGCTCCAGGGGTCCTCTGCTCCTTCTCTAATCAGTAGCCCTAAAAATGAAAATTTAAAACTTCAAGAAGAGAGAGAGGGCCAAAGTTTGGACCTCTGTGTGCCACCTTCTTTGCTCCTCTGCTCAAACTCAGAAGATGTTGTGCTCTAATACAGAAGCCTTGCCCCCAACACGCACACAGGGTACACAGCCCCTTTCACACCTTCAGCTCCTCTTCTTGCTCTAAACACCTCCAGATGTCATCTCCTAACAGTCTATTCTCTCCATATTAGGGAGGGGAGCCGCAGAGGGTTAGCATAATTCTCCAAGAGTCACTTAAGGGGTGGAGAGAAGGAAAGCAAATAGGGGAGACCAAACAAACTCTATCCATCCACGTGGTGTTTCTTAGCCCTAACTACAGAGGCCTGGGGAGCAGAAATCTCAAATCCCAAATCCAGAACATAGTTGGACAAAGGCCAAATCCCAAAAACGAGGACCAGCCCAGAGTGTTCCAAGATATGGTAGCTATAGCTTTAGGGTGAAAGAGTCCCCTGCCCCCAACATCATCAATCCCATCACACTCTTACCACTTGCTCCACTCAGAAACCACATGCAGCCCCCACTTGTCTGCGCCCTTGGGCTGCCTGCTTTCTCATCCCCAGACAAGAATTGTCTTCCTCCATTCCGGGAAGGTGAAAGCAAAGGGAAAATTCAGAAAGCAATAAGACAGATGGTGGGTGGGGACAGCATTCCCTAGAGTGGGGACAGGAACAGGTTCCACAGTAGGAGTCAGGGTTTGAAAATAGCCCTGAGTGTGATTCATCGCCCTCTTCTCTGGTAGGCAGATCTGGGTGCTCTGAATGGGAAGGAGACACGCCAGGGCCCTCCAGCGCAACCTCTGGGGCACCGAGTTCTGTGTTGGCTCCACCTTCACTCTGGCTGTTCACCCTCCCCACCACCACTGCTAGTTTTCTAGATGGCTTAGCTACATAATCACCACAAAGCTCCATCTGCATAGCTCCTCTCATTCGAAGCCCTAGAAACAACCCTTTACCTACCAGTGAAGAGTCTGAACCCATGCACGAGGTCACCAAATGTGAAGGTGGAAGAGACTAGCCCTTTAGATCCCGAAATCTAGACAGCCCACCCCCTAAATTGCAGTTGAAAACACTGTGGCACACACAAGTTGCATGACTCTCCTAAGGTCACATGAATGAGTGGTTGAACCCCAGTTTCCTGAGTCATAATTTGGTGCTCAACTTTCAAGAGTCTTGGGTGAGGAGAAATGGCGAGAAGCCCAGACTATCTAATTGGGAAATCCCAAAAACTTCTACTGAAAGGCTCAGGGGCTCTCTCATCCGAAACCATTTTGGACTTCAGGAGGAAACCGAGCCCTTAAAAATGCAACTCATCCGAAGGTTTTGACTTGATCCCCGTAGCTATCCAGATGCCAGGAAAGTCCGGGGCGTTTCTCAGAAGGGAAGGCACTGGCGGAGGGAAAGCCCAAACCGCCCGACTAGGGGCTTCCTGGAAAGCCCTGAAAGGCAGAGAAAAGAGAAGAGGGTGGAGAAGCGGCATGACCCGGCGAAGAGAGGAGCCCGCCGTCCCCGCCTAGCTCCAGCCGCCTCCGAAACCCAGAGCGGTGGCTCCGGCCCGGCCCGGCCGGGGATAACGGGCCGGCGGCCGTCTTTCATCACCCCACTCCTGGGGCTTCCCTGGGACAAGCGCGGCCTGCCGGCTCCGACCCCAAATTCCTTGGCTCGCTTCCCCTGCGTGGGTCGTCGCCCCAACTCCTACCTGAGGCCGCGTTCACTGCCTCGGGTCCGAGACCCAGACACAGCTGCTGACGGGCAGGAAGAGAGTGCAGTGGGGACGGTTCCGTCCCGGGCACGCGCAGGGCCTGGGGTCGGGCGAGGGTAACGGTGCCAGCCAGAGACGCAGCTGCCGTGGCTGCTTAGCTGTTGTCAACCCGAGGCCACTCTCGGGGCAGGTGGGGAGGGAGCTGCGGCGAGTAGGGCGCCAGGGACGCCCCGCCCACTGCTAGGGCCCTCGACCAATGAGGATGCAGTCCGGCCTACCAGGCTCCCCAGAGTGTCCTCTAAATTGTGGTGGGCGGGGCTCTGCCTTCCAACTCCTCCAATCCCCTCGCCGCTGCCTCCTCCTCGGGTCACGCCGTGTGGTGGGGGGGTAAAGGCGCCAGCCAAGAGCCAGCGACTGAGAGTGGAGGAGCCAGTGGGCCAGGGGCGCAGACTAACATTTATTGAGATCGGTATGTGTCTGGCACCGTGTGGGGATTTAAGTACATATGCCATGTGCACGGGAAGGCTCGGTGGCTTGCTGAGGATAATTTACTGGGAGATCAGAAAACACAACTTCCGTGAGATCTGATTGATAGAGGCAGCCAAGGGAGACCAGGGACAGTAAATGAGCGGGAAGTTGCCATTCCCCCCTTGCCAGGTTCCAGCATGCTGCAGCTTCCCCACTGCCCCAGCTCTGTACCCCAAGTCCACACAGTACCTCGGCAAAGGAATGCATGGGAAACTTGGGGGTATCTGCATTAATCACAGCAGGAGAGAGATCCCAAGGGTTGTGACAGCGAGCACCACAAGAAAGCCTGTTTCAATTCACTTAGAAACGGTGTTAAGATTTGGTTTCTCTCTTGCCTTTCCTCACAAGGGTCCAATACAAGTTCACAGCCTTGATTTCACTGTTATATTGGGGACTCCTATTAGCCAGGGTTGGGTGCACCCAAGAGCCCATGCATCCAACCACTATCCTTCACATTTACAAGTACAGAAACTGAGAAGAGATGACTCACTCAAGTTTACCCAGCAAATCTAAGGCAGGGATGATACATGCACACTGGTTGTTTTCTCCACCCCTAACAGATAGGAGAAATGAAGTGGAGCCTCCTAGAAAGCAGGGACTGCATTCACATAGTTTGCTTGCTAGAGTACCAGAAACAGGCGAGAGCAAAAAATTAGCCATTCTTAGCACAGCAACTAGAGGCAGAGACAGAGCCAGTCCTAGCCCCCAGTGCCCCCTCTCCTGTCTGGCCTTCAGTCCACTAGGCCAAACTGGAATTCTCCTGCCTTTCTCCCCTGCTAGCCCTGATAAGAATCAGAAGAGAAATGATGAAGCAAGGCTACCTCCAGTGTGTACGCCTCCTTTCCTCTCAATGACAAGACTGCGGGTGGCATTTTGTTCAAAACAAGACAAGTCCCTGTGGGTCTTAGATATGGATGAGGCCTGCACACCAGAACTCACTCCTGGATACTAAATTCTACTCAGGGAAGGGAGATGACCTCCTTTCTGGGGCTGGGCTGTTATATCTGACAGTATCCCTAAGGCTCTGAGTTGGAGCCAAACTTATCTTGCTTCTGGAAAATGTTACAAAGATATAAAGTGTAGGTCCTGCAATGATCCTATAGCTTCCCTAAGGGCAGGAAACCATGTCAGGGCAGATTCCTTCCACCCCATGGCACCAAGTACAATGCCTACAGCAGTTTCTCAGCAATGTGTGCTAGTGGGTGAATGACTGTCAAAAGATATGGAGGGGACAACCATGAAGAAATTACAATCATATGAATAATGAACAAAACCAACTTATCTTTCAGTAGATACATTTAACCAAGTCAGATACACACTCAGTTTTTGTTTTTTAAGGCAATCAAACCAGAAAACAACAAAAAGTACAAAAAGAACTATTGTAAATAACTAGAACAAGAGCTTCCCAGTGTCCAGCATAGAGTAGATACTCAATAAAAACACCTGTTGAGTGACTTGAGTGAACACAATAGTCAGGAAAAGCTAAAATCTTAATATTTGCCATATACACATCATGACATTTTTTTTTTTTAATCCTCACCCGAGGATATTTTTCCATTTTTTGTACAGATAGAGTGGGAGGGAGAGAGAGGAAGGGAGAGAGAGAGAGAATCATCGACGTGAAGGGACACATCGAGTGGCTGCCACCCGCACGACCAACCAGGGCCGGGGACAAACTGCAACCGAAGCACGTGCCCTTAGCGGGAACCGAACCCGGGTCTCTCCAGACCGCAGGCCGGCGCTCTAACCGCTGAGCCAAACTGGCCAGGGCGGCACATCATGACATTTTGAAATGGCCCAAGAGATGTGTCGGCTGTTTCTTTGGGTCTTGTTTGATCTCCTTCCTTTACCCCATGAGCTTCAGAAAGACACGAAGAGCTCAATCCCTTCAGAAAGATAAAGACAGCTCATTTCATTCAATCCCACCACCATCTCTTGTTCCCCAAGCCACCTCCACCCGCAACCTAAGCCAGAGTCTTGCATGTAACAGATAGTCGGCAATGGTGCCTGGAACAGACAAGGAAATGGTACCTTTCCACAAGCTCCTTTCTGGGCTGCACCTTCAGTGTCTCAGGAGATAACTGGAGCCTTTAGGTCCTTGGTATCACTTTTTCCACAAGCCCCTACTCTTGACTGTGTGTCCTATAATACTGCTGCTGTCCTGGATGCCTGCTCAGATGCCAGGCAGGAAAATGCAAAGTGCATGAGGGCTGGCTGCGGGCAGGCAAAGAAGCCTTGGGGAGCCCGCACGCATGCGTGTTTCTATGCCTGAGGCATGGGCCGTCCCTCATTCTATTACAACCACAGCCCAGCTGTGCCATGCAAAAGGCAGGACAATGCATTTTGGAGCCTGGGTACAAAACCCAACTCTGCTACTAACTAGCTGTGTGACCTTGGGCAACTGACTTTCCGGCTTTCTGTGCCTCAGTTTCCTCCTCTGTAAAGTGCAGATGATAATCACAGCCTTGACCTTATAGAGCTATTGAGCAGGTCCACTGGGCTAAATCACACTTAGCATGATGGTTGGCACGTAGAAAGTGCTTCTAAGTGTTAGACATGGTGACAGCCCTGGATCAGGAAGTAGGCAACCTGGGTGTTAGGCTCAGCTCTTCCATTTTCTGCCCATATCACCCAAGGCAAATCATTGTGTGCTCCAACCATCAGCCTCTCCAGCTGTCGAAGGAGGGTAGAACACAGTCTCTAGCAGGCACAGTTGAGAATGGTTGTGAGGGTATACTGTAAAGGTGGTGACAGGTGGCAGGATGGCACTGAATGGGTGGCAAAGCCAAGCTTTTTTCCAGGGTTAATCAGCTCTTTTCTTCTAGGCGGTGGCAGAGAAAAACTTGGAGCCTCATTCCAAGACACCTGGGTCCCAATAAATGCCTGAGGACTTACAGCAGTCCCTGCACCCCTCCCTGCCGAGGAATGGGGGTTCTGCAGGCTGTTGCAGGCAGACCCGTCGCCCCAGTCTGGAGTGGCTGAGGGTAACATCAGGAAGGAACCAAACAGACCCTTCCACCACTCTTTTCCATGGAACTAAAGGAGCGGCAGCTACTAGTTCCAGGAAACGCAGCTGGGAAGGAGGAAAGGGGAGAAGAAGCCTGAGGGGGAATGAATTACATGCAGACAGGCCCGTCCAGTGCATGACCATGGGTGTCCTCGGATTTGCACACACATTCCTGCATGCCTCATGGAAAGCCCGCCAGTCAGGTCTGGGAGGGTAAAGGCCTGCTCCCTGGTGGTTTGGGGCCCCCACCCAGCCGCATGAAAGGGGGCTATTGATCAGGCTCCCCCAATGTGGGGTAGTTAGTTACAGCTCATAAAAGAAGTCCTGAGGAGCCTCGACCATGGCAAGGGGTTTGCACTAAGAGGGGCAGCTAGAGTAGGGCCAGCCACGGGGAGGTAGCGATGGCAGTGGGAGGGGCTTGCAAAGGTGAGAGGCACACAGGCACCTCACTGAATGAGCATTGCTAAGTGGGGGCGGAGGACAGAGAGCTAGGTCCTGAGGGGAGCACAAAGACCCCTTCTCAGCCCACAGCCCTGAGACCACCATGGCTGTGCTCACTCCAGACACCGCAGACCCTGGAAGAGAAGGAGGAGCTCTGCGCTGGGCTCCGAGCCCTGGGCTGGCTGTGCCCTGGGCTGGCTGTGCGGACCGCCGGAGCACTGGCCAAGCCAGGCACAAGCCAGGCGCAGGCCAGGGGAGTTTCAGGGGCCACTCACCCTGTCCGGGCTCCCCCTCCTTACACTAGGTCACAGAGGCACTCATTCCCTCCCACCTTCCCCCTAGAGCCACCGAGGGGCAAGTCTGGGACAGTTCAATAGGCCTCCAGGCACCTGCACAGGCAGCTGGAGGCCGAGAACCAAGGCCCACTCAGGGCCTTCCAGCAGTTCTTCCCCAGATACCCAAAAGCCTGCCCCCTTTCCCCCAACAAACACCAAAGTACTGTATCAGCTTGATCAAGGGCTGGTCCCCAGCATCAGCGTAACAGACCCACCAGGCTGCGGCAGTGTGACAGAGGATGGGCCCCTGACCTGGCTTTACTGGCCCATCTCAAGCAGAGGTTCTCTGCTGTGGGCAGATGGAGCACCCCCTCCCCACTTCCCTCAGGGATGTCTGCCTGCCTTGGCCCAAACAAATAGGTGAGGTCACCCTGGGCAGAGCACTTGGGGACTGTGGCACAGACACCCAAAGCAGGATGTCCACCCCCTCCACACCCCACCCCATTCCTGTCCTTTGGAGGAAGGTCACAGGGCGGTGAGGGAAGATGAGTAAAGGCAAACCCACTCTAACACAAGGCCCCGCGCACCCTCTCCACGTGCACACACAGCAGCTGAGGTCAGAGGAACCCTCCTCGTGCCCCCTCCCCAACAGTCCCCTCTGCCTGATTTAGCTTCAGCCCTGTAGCTTGCTCCTTCCTTGCTGGGCCCTGTTTCCTCCTCTGAACAAACAGGGCTGAGCCCTGGTTTCTAGGGTCCCTGCTTTCCAGCACATCCGCTGCTTCTGTGAGCTTCTCTGTGTGTTCCCATGGGGTTGGGGCCCCCAGAAAGGCAACGTTCATAGGGTTTCTGCAGAGGAAGGGGTGGAGGCATGAGGGTCCTCTGAGGATGGGAAGC